TACAAGTAAAGCAGACTGTGGGCCCCTATGAGCATGAGGGATTACTTTAAAGAGTTTAGGATCATGATGCATTTAATGTTATATATTCTCTGTCTATCTGCAGCATGTAAAAGCCCTTAAAGAAAGAACTAGGGTCTTTACATGGTGTGGTGCATTATACAATCAATGGTTTGTCTTTTCTGAAGATTTGCATGATAAATACAGACCAGTTAGATATATTTGTATGTATTTTTACCAAAGTTAAAGGCAGTAATAGGTCATTTTGTCTTTGTTTGCAGGGTATCTTCAGCCTTAAAACCCCCCAAAGTTCAATTTCCTTGATGAAATATCCTCAAAAGTCTTATTTGATATCATAAAGGTTTATAGATTTGAGATAATGTATTTTTTCCTAAGAAAAAGCATCGACTCCACAGGAATTTATGTCACTTTTTCAAATATAAAACCTGCTTTTTGGGTCTTATCTTAAATTCTTCTTTAATTTTGTTTTGTTGACATCAGACAAGTCCTTGTTTAAAAGCTGTTTATGACAATTAAAATATGTTTTATGTACTTTTAAAGCAATAACCAGAATAAAGCAATGCAATGAAACCCTTAAAGTGTGACATGAATGTATAGAATATAAGGAAAGGGAAGTTAAGACGTTTTTTTGTTGCCAATGTGAACAGATCTGCAGTAAACATTTACTTGAATCTCTTACAGACGTTATTAGCATTTGAAAATTATGTAAGGCCTTCAAATAAAAAATAGACAAGGAGAAAGAAAGTAACGTATCAGTAGAGTTGATGGATGTTTGAATGAATGAAACAGACGAATGAAAAATGATGTTTGACATGAACATGGATGAATGAAATGAGTTAAAGATGAGGTTGTTACCTACATGAAGGCTTTCACTAGAGGCAGAAAGGTTAATGATAGCTGAGCCGGATCCATCTGCAAGCTTTAAAACACGTGCACACACACACACACACACACTCTGAGGTTAGCAACAATATTAGGAACAAATGTCAGTTAAATAGACAACATTATGTGAGTAATACACACTGTTTCCTTTCATTAGACATTACTTATCAGCAGACATATTAGTGACTCAAACGCAGGAATATCGGCGTCACCACGCTGTGTTTCTCAAACAGCATACGATTAATCAGAGATTTGTTTTGTGAGGGAAAACGTGAGCGTAGAGCCCTTTACTTTAAATCGTACATTTTCTACTCAGGGAGGTCTCGCTCTGAGAGGTGCAGACAGAAGAGTTTGGTTAACGCTGATCAGGGCGAGACCGAGGCGCAGATTAGAGACAGCAAGTGTTTATATGAGGTCACGAGGAGCTGAGGGCACGAGGACACAGGAGAGAAGGAGACAGAGAAGGAGGGGAAGAAGACAGGATGGGTGAGGTTTTAAAAGTGTGTTTTGAAACACCAAAGTGAATTAAACACCAAAGTGATCATTTTGATTAAAAACGTATTTTTTCGTAACATTTTTGACTTTTTTCTCAAAATGTTTACTTTTCCTCAGAAATTACATTTTTTTCCCCAGAAAGGACTTTTTTCTCAACATTTTGATTTTTTTCTCTAAATTGACTTTTTTTTCCAGAATTTTCACTTTTTCTCAAAATGTTAAAGGGGACCTATCATGCAAAATGCACTTTTGTACGTCTTTTATACATGAATATGTGTCCCCGGTGTTCCAGGGAACTCACCAAGTGTCAGAAAACACAACCCTCTCTCTTTTCCTCCATACCCAAATCTCTAAAAAAGGGGCTGCAACGGATCTGATACAGACTGATCCAGATTTGAAATTTCTCTGACGTCAGGAACGAGGAGCTCCGCCTATATGGCCAACTCTCCACCTATCAGGGGAATGTGGGGTTGGGCCACGGCCGGCCATTGCCGCTTAAAAGCGCTGGAGACGCTGTAGTACATATGCCAGGCCTGTAAGTGGTGCTGTAGTCTGCCACAAAAGCAGCGAAGAAGACTTCCCGCGCATGGTTGCCATGGTTACCCTTCTGTTTATTCTCCGCTGTGGCTTTTTTTCTCCCTCCCCGAGGCAAGCGTTTGCTCCTGCTGCTTTAATTCAATGCAATCCCTCCCCGTCGAGGCAAGCACTGTAATTCTCTCCGGTTAGTCCACCAGCAGATGACAAACACCCACCTCTCCGCCTCTTCCAAGGAACGAGGGGACCGTGCGGCAGAGTTTCAGTTTCTTTCACCGGTCAAGATGTCCGTTAAAGTTTAAATCTTCCGGACAAAATTTGAAAAGTGCCGGTCAAAGGTCTTCTTTGTTATTTATTGAGCTTTAAAACAAATGAATAATGACTCTATATAATAATATAAGAATAAAACACGGAGGACGGAGATCTCTTTTTCTCCCCCTCTTCTGACAGCCCAGCAGCTGATCAGAGTACGCTCCCCTCTCCTGCAGGGGGGCGTGGTCAGCTGCAGCTCACAGAATCAGCCCCCTGCAAAAACAGGGCTGGAAAGAGCAAATGGAGCGAAATGAGGCATGGCTAAAATGCAGGATCTGTTTAGTATTTTGAAAAAAAACCTATATTTATATACTTTATATAGGTATGGCCCTACAATATATTGTTCAAATATAGCATCATAGGTCCACTCTCAAAATGTTTACTTACTCTCAGAATAGTCTTTTTCTCAGAATTTACTTTTTTCCCATTTTTTTTTACTCAGAAACTTCATTTATTTTTTTTCAGAAAGGAATTTTTTTCCACATTTTGAATTTTTTCTCAGAACTAACTTTTTCCTCAAATATTTGACTTTTTTCTCTAAATTGACTTTTTTTTCCAGAAATTTGACTTTTTCTCCAGACTCACTTTTTCTCCCCAGAAATGACTTTTTCTCAAAATGTAAACTTTTTTCTCAGAACATACTGTACTTGATTTCAGGCCGCCGGATAGCTCAGTGGATAGATCTGTCGGCCCATATGCGGTTACCAGAGCCGGATATGTCCTCCCTTCTGTCTCCCCTTTTGAACTCAAAGATCTCCACTAAAGGCCTCCGGGCCCAAAAAATAATACAAAAATAAGAATATACTTTTTTCTCAGAATTGACTTAATTTTCAGAATTCATTAGGGAAGAAGTTGGGTTAGGAGAGGAGACAAGGAGATGAGGAGTAAGTGAGGAATAAAGCAATGAAGCAAAGGGGATTGAAGGAGAGAGGAGAAAGAGGACGAAGATTTAGAAAGGGCAACGGAAGAGAACGAAGTAAAGGATAAAGACAACCAATGAGAGGAGAGAGGAAATAGTGAGGAGAAGTTTGAGGAGGAAGAACTGCAGGAATCCAGAACAGAAGTTTTGAACCCGACAGGAACCACGAGCTTCAAATTCTTTCCCGAGAAAATCACGACTTCTCGTCAGATTCGCCGTCTCTGAGCGTTTTCTTTAAAGAGGCCAATCCTGTGGTTTTCCATGTTGTAGCTCATTAGCTTCACATTAAAGAGTACAGCGGGACTGTTTCCAACATCTACCGCACTGTCTCTGCTGGTTTATTAAAGGACTGTCGTTCCTTTTCTACACAATGACAGTCCAGTATTCAACTAGTGAAAGAAACTAGAGGAAATCTCACAAATGTACAATGTTATATCTGGTTTATTAACAGTAAACACAGACTTTAGCTAAGTCCAATCCACTCGTATCAAATCAATCAAAATCGTAAAAACAAGAACTTGCTGCACTTAGATTATATTCCAGAGTATTTATTTTATATCTACTGTATATTTTCTACTTTTAAATGCTGTTTTAATTCTATTTCAAGGTGTTTCAATTCTAGTATTGTTTATTTCAACAATTCTTATTATCTTATAATGTCTACACTAAGACCCTGAAAACAGCTTCACATCTTAGACCTTCATTATTCATGCCGATACAATATAAAAGGAATACCGTCTTTGTGTGTGAGTCCTCCTCTACATGTGGTTCATCTGTGTGTTTTAGTGTGTGTGTAAGTGTGTGTTCTTGACGTTCTTGTCAGTGATTAGGTCGACTGGGAAATAGTTTCCATGTTCCTCCTTAAAGAATAAAGAAAGGAATAAGGAAAGAGGAAGAAGAGGAAACTAAAAGTCTTAAATCTAAGAAAGGAGCGCCAGAGGAAAAAGGCGAGCGAGCGCTAATGATTGGTGACGAGCGCGGGGTCTCGTGGTCGCCACGGTAACCACCGACCACAGAGAGGGTTGCCATGTCATCATGTCAGGACGTGTTTATTTATGCTGCACACACACACTCTCTCACACACACACACACACACACACACACACACACACACACACACACACACACACACACACAGAAAAAAATATTCAGACTTCTTAATCAGTCCTCCCAACTGTACAATTTCCGTAGAAAACGACATTGAGACACCGAAAAAGAAAAGACACACACACACACACACACACACACACACACACACACAGAGACTGAAGGAGAGAGAGACTCACACACACACACACACACACACACACACACACACACACACACACACACACACACACACAAATGTTCCCTGTGGAATAATTAGTGTTTCATAGTTGCCCTTTACACCCCACGCCGGAAAAAAACATTTACAGTATGCAATCCTGCAAAGATGCACATACGCAGATCCATCATCAACAGAAATGTCAGGACAACAAACACACACACACACACACACACACACACACACACACACACACACACACACACACACACACACACACACACACACACACACACACACACACACACACACACACACACACACACACACACTAGGGAACATTTCAGGAGCGTTAAAGAGGAGAAACTGGATAGAATAATTCAGCTGCAGTTTTTCGTGCACCAAAAGCTTGTTTTTTGGGAATCTTATAGTTACAATTAGGGTGTGTCTATTAGAAAATAGACACACGTCAGCTATTCGGCTATTTACATACTCATAACTTCTTTCCGACTGTTGTGGCAGATTAATTAACCCACTTTCATTTTCCTTTTTATTTATTGTAAGAATGGATTTTACCTGTTCAGGTACGAGTGGCTCCTGGTCATCGATGTCAATGAAAACATCCCCAGAAAACTGTGGCGTTTGACCTGAAAACACACAGCAAAAAGACCATTTCACTTTCTTTAGTACATGTAGTACATCTCCATCCCTCCTCTTCCTTCGATGCTCCTTTTTTTCAGAATATACTTTTTTCTCAGAATTTTGACTTTTCTCAGATTTCTTACCTTTTTCCTCAGAATTGACTTTTATTTCAGATTTCTGACCTTTTCTCATAAATCTGACCCTTTTTCTCACAAATATGACTTTTTTCTCATAATTTTTTATTTGGTATCAGATTTTTGACTTTTTTCCCATAATCGACATTTTTCTCACAAATTTTACTTTTTTCTCATAATTTACTTTTTCCAATGAATTTTGACTTTTTTCTAAGATTCACTTTTCTCTCAGAACTTTGACGTTTTAATATTGATTATTGTATTTCCTCTTTAGTACATGTGTTTGTATTCATGCATGTCTCACGTCTCCATCCCTCCTCTTCCTCCTCCTCTTCCTCCTTTTTTCTCAGAAATTTGACTTTTTTCTTAGAATTTTTTTTTTTCTCAGAATTTTGACTTTTTTTGTAATAACTGACTTTTTCTCATAAATTTGACTTTCTTTCTCAGAACTTTGACTTTTTACGCTGAATTTGGACTTTTTTCTAAGATTCACGCTTTCTCTCAGAACTTGGACGTTTTAACATTGATTGTTGTTTTTTTGTCTTTAGTGAATGTGTTTGTCTTACGTCTCCACCCCTCCTCTTCCTCCTCCTCTTCCTCCTCCTCTTCCTCCTCCAGGCTGCAGCGATAGTCCTCCAGAGAGCGGATGGTGCACTGCCCGACCACCGGCTTCCTCCCAAACTGACGGTTATCGATCACTTTGATAACGATGGGCGGCATGTAGAGCTCCTCACAGGGAAGCCTCTGTGGAGAGAGGGAATATTTAAAAAAGGTTAATTAGCACAGGCGAGGACAGAACTGTAGTCCCGCTTTTTTATCTTATATATTTTAATTATTTAACTGTATCTTTTATTCATTTTTATTTTAATCATTATTATTATTTTATTTGTATTTATTTATTATTATTATAATTTCATTTTTTTCACTGGTTATTATTTGGCCAATATTTTAGAGTTTTTTTAACATTTTTTTTAACGTTTTTTCATCATTTAATTTAATTATTTATTTATTTGTGGTTTAAGTTTTACGAAAATGATTATTACCAATAAAAATGTTTTTACTAATCTGTGTATTTTTATAAAATCTGTTAAAAAAAATCATATTGGATATATGAACAAAAAAAGCAAAGCATAAAACATAAAGGAGATGGAAACATAAGATGAGTAAAGAAAACATCCTCTGACCTACGCCTGACTCTAATTGGCTACGCCACCTGCACGCCTGATGCTGATTGGCTATGGCTGCTGACTGTCTGAAGCTGATTGGTCACGGTTTGGTGACAGGCCAATCAGGAAGCAAACTTTAAATCCTGACCCCTCCCACGAAAGGGAAGAGCTTAGATCTGTATGATGGAAATCAGGCAAACATTTTAAATCTCAGTTTATGATTTAAGTAAATGTTTACGTGTTTAAGTGACACCATGACAAATAAAGTTGTATTTTACATGACAACATGGCTTACATATTTTTGCAAAGACACGCTATTAAACCACTGACTGCGCTCAAATGTCACCACGAGAAAAGGAAAGAACAACATAAATAATAATAATTTAAAAAATATAAAAAATAATTACAACAATAAGAAATAAAATAAATTAATAATACTATAAAATAATAGGGAAAAGAATATTGTTATTAATCTGTGTATAGAAATGCCAAATGTCCAGCAGAAACAGGCAAGTTTTCCTCAAAATTAGAGAAATGTGTGCAGATTGACAGCGACTCTTTTTACCAGGCCGCTTTTCCACGTTGTCTAAAACAACGGTTCCCAACCTGTGGGCCGCGAAAGCATTGCAAGTGGGCCGCCAAATAATTTGCAAAACATTATGATTTGTGTGGATTTCATTATTACGATTTTTTTTTATTTGAACCCTTTTTCCTTTTTCTTTCTTGATCCTCCTTAGCAACGGTCATTACAGTCCTTGAGAGCGGTCTGTACTACTGGATTAATAACGTGTTCTGAATTGACCAATCATAATCGAGTATCGAACTAAACCGTGTAATACAAATGTCTGTTTGTTACTGATAGCCAGCTCCTTTTCGAATTAAAATAAAAAGTACTCAGAGTACTTTATTTAGCATCCGTATTGTTTATGGTTGAATGTGAGCCGCGAACATTTCTTAGATTCTTAAGTGGGCCCTGAGTTGAAAAAGGTTGGGAACCGCTGGTCTAAAATATATAAAGACACACTGTGAAACCACTGGCTGTCATCAAATGTCACCACAACTTGACAATTTAAATTGTTATTATTATTCAGCGTGCAGAAAGGCCACATGTCAACCAGAAAAAGGCCAGTTTTACTTAGATTATGGAAATGTGTGCACATCAATGGTGACCTATATTGCCAGACCGGCTCAAGGGGAAAAATAAAGTTTGTTACTGAAATCTATTTGATCCCTGTGGCTTTCAAAAGGCTTAATTTGGGGCTAACGATGTTAAACTCACAATAAACTAAGCGACTATTAGTGTCTTCAAAGAGGAAAGTATGCACATGGCATTTTCTTTAACCTCCTGACATACGAAAACACTCACGCACTCAACTTTAGACCTTAATAATGTTAACAGTAAATGCTTGGAGCTGAGTTTAAGGGAAAATATGTGCATATTTCCACCGTTCTGTGGGGGCCGTCAACACACGACCTTAATCTTGTTAACATTAAAGCGCCGGAGCCAGAGCAGGGATATGTATCTGAGGGGAAAATATGTGAATATTTCCGTACTGCAATTAAAGCTGTCATAATAAAACACAGAGGTGATCAACTTCATATTGTTAACAGTAAACTCTGTGAGGGAAAGCGTGAGTAATATTTCCATGTTTCACTTTAGGAAAACACCTTAAATGTAATGGCACTAATATAAACTCAGAGGATTTACATTCACAAAGGACATTTCTACATTTGAAGAACATAAAATGACTGTGGAGGCTCCTTGTTTTTTTATATAATATCCACTCGGAGTTTAACAAAAAGTCAAGTTAGATAATATTTTAGCCTATGATCATTCCCAACATCAAATCAAATCATAGTATATAAGTTATTTTATCAATATATTGTAGTCTTAAAATCCATGGATGTCGTCTGGATTAATGTCCATTTGATTGATTGTAACTTAATGTATGACTTCGCCCTGCAGTGACATCCATTTTAAAAGCATCAAGTGTAGTTTTAGCCCCCGATCCTGCAGAAATGTCCCTTTTCGATGGAAGAAAACAGCTATCAAGCGTCTAAAATAAGTGATTTCTAAAACGTCGTGACTCAGAATGACTGCTTTGATGCCTGTGGAGGATTTCTACTTTTCCAGAAGCAGAGAAGGACCAGAAGAGTTCATTATTGCTGCTTCACTGATGAAGAATAATGACCGACGCTAACCACATCACAGCAGAACTCTCATTAGCTCTGAGGCTACGCTCTGATTACATCTGTTTGACGAGTACAGTATGTACAGTAGTGTGTATTACAGTGTGTATTACAGTGTGTACTCAGTGTGTACAGTACAGTGTGTACAATACATACAGTATAGTGTGTGTTCAGTGTGTAAAGTAAGTATTCAGTATGTACAGTGTGTATAGAGTGTGTACAGTACAGTAAAGTGTGTATCCACTACAGTACAGTGTGTATACAGTACAGTGTGTATACAGTGTGTACAGTATAGTGTGTATACAGTGTATACAGTACAGTATGTATACAGTGTGTACAGTATAGTGTGTATACAGTGTGTACAGTACAGTGTGTATTCAGTGTGTACTCAGTGTGTACAGTACAGTGTGTACAATACATACAGTACAGTGTGTGTTCAGTGTGTAAAGTAAGTATTCAGTATGTACAGTGTGTATAGAGTGTGTACAGTACAGTAAAGTGTGTACAGTACAGTAAAGTGTGTATCCACTACAGTACAGTGTGTATACAGTACAGTGTGTATACAGTGTGTACAGTACAGTGTGTATTCAGTGTGTACAGTACAGTGTGTATACAGTGTGTACAGTACAGTGGGTATGCAGTGTGTACAGTACCGTACAATGTGTATACAGTGTGTACAGTACAGTTTGTATTCAGTACAGTGTGTATACAGTACAGTGTGTATTCAGTATGTATGTACAATAGTGTGTACAGTGTTTTCTCACCACGTCCAGGATGAGTGTGTTCAGGTCGAAGTTTGGTTTCTTCTTCATGCTCCGGATGACGCAGCTCTGCACGGAGATGCCTCCACACTCCACCTGCAGGCTGGGAGAGGAGATGCTGGCCAGCTGGAAGCTCTTCAGGTTACGCACCCCCCACGCTAAGATCTGAGGGGGGGGGGGGTGGGGGCAGGGAGAGGGTTATTGATCCTAAGATCATTATTTCATCTAAAAGAATGCCGAAAAACTCATGAAATATGCTCAAAACTAACAAGGTGTCTTATAATCTGTTATTTTGTTGGACCAAGAATCCAAACCCAAAGATAATAACCAAATAAAGATTTTTAAAGCAGTAATCAGAAAATGTTTCAGATGATTAATGATCTTAATAATAATAATAATAGATTGCATTTGTATAGCGCCTTTCAAGGGACCCAAGGCGCTATACATGGTGAACAAACGAACAAACAAACAAGATCTTGTTGATTAACTGTCATAACATAACAGGTCCCTTTCAGAGCTAAACAAATAGCTAATTATTATCGATTTTTATATAAGAAATACTTTGATGATCGATAGAATAATCATGGAATAATACATTCACTTTTTGTAAGAAAATAACTTTGTGTAAGAAAGAATAGAGGTGCGTTTCCCAAACTGTCGTACTATGCCTTTACCAAGTTGTCGTTTGAAGTTGTGTGCCTTGAAGTTGAGGTGCAACTGAAGTGCATCGGTACAATAGTTTGTGGAGTAAAACACGTAGCAGTAGCTGTTGTAAATGTTTTCTGGTACCTCGATGGCGGTTCTCTGCAGAACCGGTTTGATTCCCTGAGGAACCACGAAGACGTTGGGCTCTCTTTGATGAGGAGGGTGAGGAAGGTCCGACTCGTCTTCCTGCCAAGAGGAACGCAGGACAGAAGTCAGAAAACAAGAAACAAATGGAAAACGTGCAATGATGTTTACTGCCGGGTAAATGTATGTTAGAAAATGTTTATGTCGAATGAAGTTTGCGAGAGTGAAAACCACACCTATGGAACAAAGGGTTGGAGAGAACATGTTTTATTTGTGTTTTTGGAAAATGATATGTTGTTAGTGGATTTGTTGGTTTATTAAAGTATGAGGAAATGACAGAAGAAAGGAAATGAAACAGACATGAATGGGCGATTTAGGGAAAAGATGCACATGAATAGTGATAGGATGGATGATGATGTGTGTGTGCTGCAGGGTGAACATGCAGACATGACACATGGTTTATATATTGATATAGTATATCCTTCTGTGTGCTTATTGTACCGCTTGCTGCAGGTGTTCAGAGAGGAATCCTGGAAACATCAACTGAGGAAGCAACCGTGAAGAAAAAGAGACGAAATAAAGGTAAAGAGAAAAAATAAATAAAAGATAAATCATCACAAAAATATATTTTAAGGACTTTAAGGAAGTTTGTTTACTGTTCATACGTGTCATTTTTTAAGAAGAAAAGTCCCATTTTACCAGAGGCCTGTACTACGAAGCCGGTTCAACATAACCTGGATATGTTTGAGTTACCCGGCTTACCTAATCCAAAACAAACGCGCTCTCTCTAAGCGGTCCTACGACGCTGGTTATCAACTCGGTAACTCAAGCCAATTTTGCTCTATCTAGTTAGCTGGGCGTTCACATAAAAGGGGCGGGGTTAGCAACATTTGACCAATCACAAACATGGAGAAGCGTACTGACAGCGCAGCGTCATATTTCCTGAATGAAAAGTGAACTTTAATATTAGTCAAATATGAAGAAGTTAAACTTTAAACATCCATGACTTAAACACTTTATCCAGGATAAAAGCCACATAGCTGCACCTGCAAGGTGAATACAGCTGGTAAAAGAAAAAGTGTTTGAATGCGTACATTAACAGGTTTATGAAATCACTGCCCCGTCCAAGACACGAGTGGATCTGACTTTAATTACATTTGACTCAAGTGTTTTCGTCAACTTAATGTGTTGCTTAAAATAATACTTCTGCATACAGTATGTGACACTGAGTGTTGCACGGCCAGATACGGCTCAGCTGACTCAAATAAGGAAATATATGATACATTATGATGTGATATGATATGAATGCTAATGGGACACATCGACGTCTGCACTCACAGTGCCGCGGACTGTACTTAATGTTACTCTGATCCGGTTACTTATGTTGTGGCAGATATTTAAGTAAGCTTTCTTAACGCTAATGTTATAATAGTCAGATTGCTCTGAAGATGGGAGGGGATATTCTATTAATGTTCACGTTCACACAGTCAGTTGATTTTTGCCGGCTGTCTTTCCTGCAACGGCAGTTTTTCTGTATTTCCTCTATCCTGAAATATGACTTGATCGCTTTAAACTCCGCACACGGAGCTCTGATTGGTCAGCAGGCGGTGCTTTCACTGAGTTGATCTCTTATCCTGGAACCTAACTTGCTCCGGACCAGGCTAGCCGCTCAGCATAAGTTACCATGGAGATCTAGCCTGCTAAAAAGAGAACCAGAGTCGTAGGACCGGAAACCCAGAGTTTTCCCTGAAGTTAGCCGGCTAAGAGAAAATCCGGCTTCGTCGTACAGGCCTCTGGTGTATTTGCTTATAAAGAGCAGACAGTAAAGAGAGCATCAATTAGATTTGTAAGCATCACATTAGAAGAAAATCATAAACACTTAATTTACGAACAGACAAATAGGTAAAATAGCATCAAGGAGATCAAGTTGCAGCATGTTTTTAATCACAAAATTACACTCATTTGACATCAGACTAAAATCTCTTCACTCCCGAATCTTTTGTTATATTTAAATGTAATAATCGGATTAATAGCTAAATCTCTGTGGCGTGACTTTATGATTTTACCTCGTCTAGAACGTGGTTGGACGTCATGAAGTCTCCCTGTAGGTGAGACAGGAAGAAGACAAGTGTTATTTTAAAGGTTGAAAATGTACGAAGAAGGGAAGAGATCTATCCAAAAAGAAGTACAGAGTAATAGTGGGGAAGGTAAGAAATGAAATACACTGACCTCTACCCCGGGAATATGATGAACTGCTGGCTGTAGACACAACATGTGAACATAAGAAAGGTTTTATAATAAGATAAACAAAACAAAGCATTACACATAAACAATACAAGAATGTAAACATCTCAAATGTCAAATGAAGGGTTAAGCTAAATATTATATATAAGCTCATATCACACATTGATATCCCAATAACCCTTAAACACAATAAGCATTTTTCAATATTTAAATGTGGAGAGGAGGGAAAGGGCGATGAAGACGTGAGAGGAAAACTAACTAAGTAGTTCATTATTAATTTGATAATGGATTGTAACCTTTTCTCTGCGTATGAGCTGGAAGGCGGCCAGCAGCTCTCCGGCGCTCTTTTCTCCTCGAGTGATCGGAAACCAGGTGAGACGAGGAGAGGAGGAGAGAGAGGGAGGACACACACATCGGCCCATGAACTCATCTGCACCCTGCACACACACACACACACACACACACACACACAATTGTACAGAAAATGTGTAAACATGCATTTCAAATATAGAAATAAAACCAACATCAGCCCCCTCTCAAAATCATCTCTGTAAATGACAGACAGACAGACAGACACACAGACACACAGACACACAGACAGACAGACACACACACACACACACACACACACACACACACACACACACACACACACACACACACACACACACACACACACACACACACCCACACACACACACACACACACACACACACACACACACACACACACACACACACACACACACACTGGTCCTACCCCCTCTAGAGAAAATAATCACTCACGTATGTGTCCTGGTCGTAGAGCTCCACCACCACGTTGGGCGGAGACGACATGGTGCCCTCAGGGTCTCCGAATATCTCCACCTCGTAGAAGATGAGCGTCTGATCCCAGGTGGGGTTCAGGGTGTTTCTCACCGTCACCGTTTTCTGAGACTGATGGAGGAACGAGACGATGGCGTACGGGTCTGAGAGAGGAGACGACAGAGGGAAATGTTAAAGGTCACCTATTATGCAAAATCCACTTCTTCACGTCTCTTCTACATCAACATGAAAACTCTGTTTAAAGAGACTCTGAAAGTTTCAGGAACAAAGATTCTCTCTCTTTTTGTCCTGATCCATTTATATAAAAACCTGTCTGAAAATGAGCTGATCAGATTTTGGCCACTTTACAGTATGTCATAACGATGTTTTGTCTTGTGTAACCATTAGCTAATCACCAACCAAGGTAACCCAGAGAATCAGCACTTTGGAAACAGGGCTGAAACAGAGGGGATTATGGGATGCTGCAATGATCTGTTTGGAGCCAAACACTTCAGAGACATGTTCTGTATATATCTGAGACCTGTGATATATTGATGAAAAACAGTATAATAGGGGACCTTTAATTAATCTATTCTGCTTCTGGAAATTGAGTTAGATAATTGTTTTATGCAGATTTAGAAGCAAAAAATAAGGTGTAAGTAAATCAGGATGCTAATTTAAGGGCAGAATTGACTTTATCTTTAAGATCCAAATTTCCTGAAACAAATATCGGATCTTATCTTTTTTATCGACTTGGTCCAGAATAAACTGAATCTAAACTTCAGGCCTAAGAAAAAACTAAGTATATTTCACTTTTTAGGCAAGAAACGTTGCTTAAAATAGATTTATATTTGAGGAAATCAGCCGAAAATGACTTACAGAAAAGTAGACTATATCTATAGAAATAACAGTTACTGTATGTTGAAAATGCATTTTGAAAAAGGAAGGAGTGTGTATTCCCTATTTCGGGTTCCTGCACCTTCTAAAAAATCAACTCTTAAGTCTTTTCAGGGACTTTCCGAGTCCAATTGCGTCAATTACAAAGATCCAACACGGGATAGATCGAGACGCAGATTAAAATGTATTATAGTTGCTGCACAGAGAAGTGTTATGAAGAGATTTAGAAGCTCACCATAGACTTTAAATCATGAATGCATGCCTTGAAGGCCGGTGACAAATGAATCAATGGGCATAAATATAACAAGACTTGAAATGGAATTGCAAAAATGACATCATCACTTTGGGAATGCCGAGCTCGAGACGGAAGGCTGGGAACACCGCTCGGAGAAGTTTGTTATTCCAGGTCTCACACACACACACACACACACACACACACACAACTTACAATGTGAAGGAATGCATAAAAGGACACATACATGTACACACACACACACACACACACACACACACACACACACACACACACACACACACACACACACACAGTGAGTAGTTTGTTATTTCAAGCCGGGTAAAGGGTCTCTGTGGAGCCGTTAGCGATAGAGTAAACAGAAGCTAAGTTGCATTTTCCCACCAGCCCTCAATTAACCTTGGAAGTGACACACACACAAACACACACAAACACACACACACACAAACACACACACACATACACACACTGTACAGACACACCACCCATGGAGACCTTTTCAATTAGCGTCCATTCCCAGCAGCCCATTAGCTCATGTAAACAGCAACACAAACAGCCCAGGGGGGTTATGTAAGTGTGTGTGTGTGTGTGTGTGTGTGTGTGTGTGTGTGTGTGTGTGTGTGTGTGTGTGTGTGTGTGTGTGTGTGTGTGTGTGTGTGGAGGGGAAGCAGTAGTAGTTGGGACCCCAGCAGGAGTCACAGGGGTACATAAACACAAACCAAGACTTGGGAAGAGGGGAACGAAAGGTTATGAGATGTCAAATTTGGGCTAAAGAAAGGTAGAGAGAGTCTGAAAGTGGGAATTTAGACTTTCAACATGAACACACACCATGCTTTTAATATACATGGCAACACACTAGTTACGTATAGTATATCAGGAGTGAGTGACAGTATGAAAACAGAGAATTAAGTGAGAAATGAAACGGACATTTAGGCTTGGATACAGCAGGATTTAATACGGGGAAATACAGCTCAAAATGATTGAACACTTACTCCTCTGTCTGAGTATGAACTGAATGGTTTGCTAAGAGTTAGTCGACTCTTTAATCACGGCCGCAACGTAACAACTGAAGCTCATCCATCAACTCTACTCATCCATTACACTGTGTGTGTGTGTGTGTGTGTGTGTGTGTGTGTGTCTCCCCTCCTCATCTATCATCCCTCTCTCTTTCTCTGTCTATTCATCTCCATGATATGTAAAGCCTCGTCTCTGTAGTCTGCTGTGGCTTTCTGATCCACACACACACACGCACACACACACACACACACACACACACACACACACACACACACACACACACACACACACACACACACACACACACACACACACACACACACACACGCTCACACACACACGCCAGAGTTTCCATGATCTTCTGTTTCTCCTTTTCTTTCTATAACTTCACGTGATTTCTCCTCTTCTCCAATAATGTCTATTTGGTGACTTCCTTTCAGTCAACAAGTTATCAGCATTTCAGACAAACAAATGACAGATGCATGATGGGAAACATACCTGAGAAGCTGTCTTTGTCCATGGCCAGCAGATCTCTGGCTTGGTACAGGTAGCAACGCAGGTGGTAGCGGGTGCCGCCTACACACACACACACACACACACACACACACACACACACACACACACACACACACACACACACACACACACACACACACACACACACACACACACACCACACACACACACACACACACACACACACACACACACACACACACACACACACACACATTATTGTATTGAAGAAGACATGGAGTGGTGAGAAAGGGAGAAGTAAGAAAGGTGTTGTGTGTTTTCTTACGGTCAAAGAAACAGGAAATGGTCGGTCTGTTGACGCCGAACGTTGTTGTGACGGACTTGTCTTCATTCCTGTCCTCTATACTGCTCTGTGTGAGCAATTCAGAAAGATAAAAACAAGCATTTTCTGTCTTGAAAACAACACATATTGGTAAAACATAGCAAGGCCTTCAAAAGAAGACCACACAAAGGTTATAAGAAACTTAACATGCACTAAATGGCCAAAAGTATATGGACACATATGGACACATACTGTATGTTGGTCTCTTGCCGTCTTTTACGCAGTTTAGGACCTCCAGTTTTAAGTAATTGTAATGTTACAGACAATATTTTATTGAGTAAAGTTGGCTTTTTTCGATTTTGTGGCAATGGTTTGTGTTTATCCTTTTCCTTTTTCAACATGACGATGATTTTTAAGGTACGGACGTAAGGAAGAAAATTCAGTTTTTACTTTGTAATTAACATGTGCTATATTCTATGATAATATACACTTTATTTATCTCTCAGCTTTAGTTTAAACATATGTATGAGTTTGACTACAAGAGCAACTCTATTGATAATTGTTGGAAATGTTTTGGTCCTGGAAAATCTGGATGAAAAACTTTCCAGAAGAGAGAGGCTTGTTTGGCGGCTATCATCATATTTGTGTGAAACGTCAGCTGTCCACTATCTTTTGGCCAAGTCTATATCTTAAATGCCATCATTAGACATCTTATTTTGTCACTATTTAATGATGTTTAATGTGTTTAATGCAGTAAACGTCTCCTTCCTCTCACCAGAGAACACTCCAGAGCAAAGATGGCGGCGGGTCCAGTCTTCTCCAGCGGCTCCATGCGGTTTCTCCACCTTCTCCTCCGAAAACTGTCCGTCTTCCTCGGCTTCAGGTGGAACCTCCACCCGAAAAGAGAGGCATGCTCCCAGCCCTCCCTCTCTGCTTCATCAGGACCACGCTGTCACACACACACACACACACACACACACACACCCACACACACACACACACACACACACACACACACACACACACACACACACACACACACACACACACACACACACACACACACACACACACACACACACACACACACACACGAAGAAACAGAACATATTTAAAGATAGCTTAAGAAACAGACATTAAAACATTACATTGAGAAAAAAACACTTTGAATGATCCCATAGATACATATTTTCAAATACTTTAAATTCAAATACAAAAACTTAAGGACCAAATACATGTATGAGTCTGCAAACAGAGAACACACACACACACTCACACGCACACACACACACATCTGTGCGTTCCAGCCTCTGTCGTGCTCATTTGTGCAACTAGACCTCCATCTAGTGGCAGGAGGAGGGAACTGCTCACATTATAAAT